GGCTCTTTGGTCAAGTCTACAGGCTCCTCCTCCCCATTATGCTTGGGTGGAGGTTCCTATAATTGCTATCTCGGGCTCGCCGAATGGATGGGTGCCTTCCCTTTTTCAGCACATTTCAGTGTGACGGAGTAACACTCCTTAGCTGCAACCTGATCCCCATGAATATCTATCACCTTGTTTCCGTCTGGCCCGAGGCATCGCATGACTTGGTGCAGAGTTGAGGGTACACCTTGGACTCTGTGAATCCACCCTCTACCTATCAGAAGATTATACGAGGGGTGAATCTTGACCACAACAAAGCTCTCTATCAGAACCCTTTCTGCAGTATATACTGCTACTTCCACCATACCGATGGGTTCCACCCGCTTTCCATCAAATCTGAGCAAAGGATTTCCAGTGGGCTTGAGCTTCTCATGCTTTATCTCAAGCCAATCGAACGTGTCTCTTGGCATAACATTCGCACTGCTTCCAGGATCGATCAGAACTCTTCATACTAGGCATTCGGCCATCATCAGACTGACGACCAATGGATCTTCATGAGGAATCTAAACACGTAATAGGTCAGTTATGTCAAACTTAATTTGCGTTGACGCTTTCTGCTGATGCAGAGTGTTTACACTGCCTATCCTCCTCTTCATTTGCGCCTGGCGGAGGCGTATTTGAAGCAGTTCATCTGACTCCTCAGTGGGCTCTGGCCGACTATGAATTGCATTGATTATTCGAACTGGCAGTGAGTTATGGGAGCTTGGCTTCTGATTCCTCTTTACTTGCTCAATCGGTCGGTTCTGTTCCACCGCCGGGCCTTGAATGTAACTTGCGAACTCCCCTCTGGCTATTAGTATCTCAACCTGCCTCCTTAAGTTCATTCATTCATTAGTTTGATGGCCAAAGTCAGAATGGAAAGCACAATGCTTAGACTGGTCTCTCTGCTCGAGAGGTTGCCTGATTGGTAAAGGAGATTGGAACTTATCTTTGTTTTCTTGATACAGCCTAGCCAGAGTGATTTTCAGAGGAGTAACCATCTCTTCCTCTCTGGGCCTCTTTTCAACTTTCCAGGAGGTCTGACGTTGTGGCTGAGCCTGTTTTTGCCTAATTTTTGCTTTGGTTTTCTCTTCTGTTGATATTATGGATGTCTTCCGAGCGTTAGCTGCTTCTTGTTCTTCTAAGCGAACAAAACTAGCAGCTCTTTCATTGAGTTCATCCATAGTCTTCGACGTATTCACTACCAAGCTTGTGTGGAATGGAGTGCCACGAGTCATGGCCAATTTAAATGCTTGAACCGCTGTGGAAGGATGACATTCAATCACCATGCTCTTGGTAAGGTTAAACCTGGTAAGAAAAGCTTGGAGACGCTCGTCCTCATGCTGCTTCATTGTGCATAGGCTCGAAATGTCTTTTGCTGGACGTTTATTCCCATAGTACTGGCTTATGAACCGATCGCACAAACTTCAAAAACTATCCACTGAGCCCCTTGGCAGGTTCTTGAACCAATTGAGTGCTAGTCCAGCTAAACTTGTAGGAAAACACTTGCACATTAAGGAGTCGTTCTCAGTGTTTAGGGCCATATTTAACTGGATGTGATATACATGATCAATCGGATCAGTTGTTCCGTCAAACAAAATGAAAACGCGCATGGAGTACTTCCTCAGACTCGGAGCATTCAGAACTTCCTCGGACTTGCACATTAGACTCTCAGCTTCGACCTTCTTTCTAATGGGCTTAGCCTTCTTCGATGGATCCCCCGAGCTCGGCCCATTCTGTGATGCTCTTGTATGGGCTGAATCCAATTATTTGACCCGAGGCCATGTCTACGGGTCATATCCAGCCCATGTCACCTTTGGTATCCTCAACTATCATGTTTGGTTGTCCAGACCATTGATGTCTACCCGAATATGATTCCTAAGAAGGACACACAAGCCGTGGAGTTGAAGTCAGTGAAAGCTGTTGCCAAAGATGTGGCAAGCCGGTTGTTGGCAGCTGAAAAATTGGTGGATGAAGTCCAGCTCTCCCAATATTATGCCAAGGTCAAAGTTCACCATTTGGATCTGGCTGTTTGTGCCGCTCTTGACCCGGAAAGGCTCTCCGGCGATCCCGACGATGACAACAGCGGTAATGATGATTATTGGGTTGATGACTAGTACTATTGCTTTTTCCTTGTGGGTGGGTCGATGGGGTGGTTTCTTGTGGGTGGGTGGGTGGGTCTGTCTGTGGGTGTTGGTGCGTGTGGGTTTCGCTGGGGTGGTTTTTTTTGGATTTGTGGATGGTGGTTTAATTAGATAGAGGTTTTATTAATTATTTGGATATGTTATGGAATATTTACTTGATGGATTTGATATTCAGTGTTTATTATATTTTGATGTTTTTATTTCTTGTTAGTTTTTGTTTAATGTTTGTATGAACTCTTTTTAATTTGGCTTTTATATTATCATAAATTGTTTTTCTTTTTCACTTTATAAAAATCGACTTGTTTGTCACAAATTGTAGAAATCTGGGATAACTACATCTCCGTTTTTCGGCATTAACTAAAGAAGGAGATCAGCTTTAAACTAGTGTTTAGAGATATTAGACTATATATATATAGATATATATATATATATATATATATATTTATATAATTGACTATATATATTTGTATAGTGATTAGTTACCAAAATAGTCTCAAAATTTCCTCTGATCTTTTTAATATTTGGTTCCTTTTTAAATTTTTTTTTTTGGAAATATAAGTGTACCTGTCCATCTTGTTTTCTGACACAAGAAGAAAGATAAGAGTATGGTGTTACTGTATTTGTGATATGTCAATTCACAATAATATCTACACAAGACCATATATATTAATGAATCTGTTTTGATACGACTCTTTGTCAGCCCTACTTTCAATACCAGCCAAAATCTTCCCCACTTTTTTTGCCCTTTATATATGTTGAGACTAGTGTTCAAAGATCTTAAAATCAACAAAAATGGTATAATTGACTATATATATATATATTACATACTATATAATCTGTCACAGGAGGGATATGTAATTATGATAATTATTGTTTCTAAAAATTGACAAGTCTTAGTTTTGCTACATTTAATGAAGTCTCTTATATATAGAAGCTTAAACATTTAAAAATTTAAAAACAATGGCATTATTTAAATGGTAGGGTTTGAAAAGTTTATTGATGAAATAATGAAGCTATGTAAGTTTTAATATAAATACTACTATAGTTTAATGGGATTTTGACCAACTAAATAAGCCTTAAAGTATTATATTCTCTTTAAAAAGTTTAGAGAAAGTTCATCTTAATTCTAACAATGGTTACTAAAACATTAATTTAATACAGTTCAATTCATTGGAATAGTCTCTAAACCATTTAATACAGCTTAATTCATCAAATATATTTGGCCCAATGCGAAAGGTATTTCGGTCCGAATAAAGGAGAGTAAATTTGGTCTTATCATGGATGTCATTATCAGAGATTTCATCGCAAATCGTGCTAGTAAGAAATATTAGTCCCTCTCTCCAAATCACTCTCAATAAATAGGAAAGAAATCCTCTTCATTCGCATCTCACTAGAAAGTGTCCAGTAGTGGGCCAATCAGCTGATTTGGCAACCAGATTAAAATCTGATTTACCATTATATACATATTCTTTGTATAAAATCTTTATACATTATATATTTATATTATTTAATTAATTATTAGGTCTCACATCATGTAAAGACTTATTAATGTGTTGGTGTGCTTTTGAAAATTTCAGATTCAATTTTGAAATTCCCCCAAATCATCATCTTCCAAACAAAACAAAAGTAAGTTCTCTCTCTCTTCTCTTAACTATAAAATTTGATTTAGGATTTTGTATCAGACTAACAAGAATAGCATATCTAAACATTTTTTTCCAATATTATCTTCCTTTTTATAATTTTTTTGGGATTGATTTGATCTTTTATATATGTTGGGTGTAAATGAGTTTTTTAGCGTTTGAATTTGGATTTTTTGTTTGCGAAAAGATTGATTTTGGTTTAATATTATCTTCCTTTCCTATATTCCTCTCAGGGGCTTTGGAGATCGAAGTTGCAGTCTAGAAAAGGCAACAGTAAGTCCCAAAACTATAGTAGGCAGAAGTCGCAGTTCACTCGTCATATCCTCTTTTTTCTCTTCATATCTATCCCTTATATATATAAAGCTTAGATTATTTTCTTTTTACTTCTTCTTGCAATCTTCTTTAGAACCCGTACGATTTTTATTGTTTCAAATCTCCTTTAGATATTCCAAATTTCTGAGAGAATGCAAAATCTAGGATTTTTTTTTTTTTTTTTTTCTTTTGTTCTTGATACTTGAAAACAGATTGTTTCCATTTCAATGTTGGATCAATTTTTATTTTTAAAAAATGTGAAGATTTATTAATATATTCACTTTTTCGGTTCTAGTTTCCAAGGGTTTTTTTTTTTTTTTTTTTTTTTTAACTTTCATTTTTTCAGTTTAGTTTGTGATGTCAATTATATTTAAGCTGTTGATCTATTTTTGGTGACTACAAGTTATCTTTGAAAATATAGACAATTTTAACTATATTTTCTGGGTCAAATATAGGGTGTCAATCCACTTAATGTTTAAAATAGATGTTATATGACTCCTTTGTTTGCTAACAAAGAACCTGAGAAAAATAAAAAAATATTTTTGTATAGAAACTAATATCATGCTTCATTTGTTTTGGTTTTAACCTTTATTGTTATTTGTTTCTATTATTTAATCAATTTTCTTATCTAATTGTTCCCATAACTGGCAGAAATAGAATCCATCTTTGGAATATTTTGTCTCTTTTAAATTATCAGAGCATAATTACATTGAAAATTTTGGATTCTGAGAGATATGGTTGTGGCATTTACCTATTTGATGGGGGAGGGCGATATGGTGTTGCATAATCCCACTGGTTTTATCACTTATGAAATGAAGAATAGGGGATCCAGGGAGAGTGTTCGTGGAAGGAATGAAGGGTTTTCTAATTTTGGCGTTTCCCTATGGAACTACAAATATTTTCATGGAATGTCCGGGGTCTCAATGACTCGGTCAGAAGGAAAGTGGTGAAGTCGGTCATTCGTAAAGGGGGAGGTCATGTGGTGTGTTTGCAAGAAACTAAGCTCGCTTCGACATCAGATGGGATGGTGCATCATATTTGGGGTGGGAGATTTGTGGAGTGGATTGTTTTGGATGTTGTTAGCTCATCGGGTGGTATTTTGATTATGTGGGATAATAGATGGATGTCTAAGGTGGATTCTCATGTTGGGAGATTCTCTGTTTCTTGTGTTTTTTTCTTTGGTGGAGGATGGTGTTCCTTGGGTTTTTTCTGGTGTTTACGGGCCTACGGAGGATAGTGTGCGTCATCTACTTTGGGAGGAATTGGGGGAGGTACGAAGGCAATGGATGCTTCCTTGGTGTGTTGGAGGTGATTTCAATGTGGTTCGATCTCCTTTTAAGAGGTCAACGAGAGGTAGGTGGACTTCTGATATGGAGCTTTTCTCAAAATTCATTGATGAGTTCAGATTGATTGATCTGCCTCTGGAGGGTGGGCCTTTTACTTGGTCTAGTGGTTGCTCTCCCCCTACTCTATCTCGGCTTGACAGGTTCCTTGTGTCTAAGGAGTGGGAGGAGATGTTTTCTGATGTTGTGTAAGCTACTTTGGCTCGTCTTATCTATGACCATGTACTGTTGATGCTGGATTGTGGCAGGTTGCGGAGTAGACGCTCTTCTTTTAGATTTGGAGATATGTGGCTTCGGGCTAAGGGTTTTCTAGATAGGATCCGATTTTGGTGGGAGGTGTCCGGGGTGGTTGGCACTCCAAGTCATTCGCTTACAGGTCATTTGCGTCGTTTGAAGGGAAGTATCAAGATTTGGAACAAATAAGTCTTCGGGAATCTTGTGTGGAGGAAAAATCGGGTTTTGGCTGGGTTGTTGTTATTGATAGAATGGAGGGTCAAGGGGATCTGGCAGATGATTTGAAGGTTAGGAGGGCGAAGTGTAAGGCGGAGTTTGCTGAGATTGCGATCATGGAGGAGATCTCATGGAGAAAAAAGTCTAGAGCTTTGTGGCTTAAGGAGGGGGATAGTAACACGAAATTTTTTCATAGATTGGCTAATGCTCATAAAAAGGGCAATCATATTGGGAGGATTCAGGTGGAAGGGGAACTTCTTTGCAAGGAGGAGGATATCTGCAAAGGCATTTCTGAGTTCTACAAGAAGTTATTCACTGAGACTATTGAGTGGAGACCCTTGCTTGAAGGGCTTCAGTTTACCTCTATTTCTAGTAAGAGTGCTCGGGTCTTGAGGAGCCTTTCTCTGAAGAGGAAGTTCTTATTGCTCTGAAGAGTTGTAATGGGGACAAAGCCCCAGGTCCTGACGGTTTTACCATGAGATTTCTTTTGGAGTGCTGGGAGGTGGTTAGAGGGGAGGTGATGGGTTCTTTTCATGCTTTTCATGCTCAAAGATCTTTTAAGAAGAGCTTGAATGCCACTTTCATTTCTCTCATCCCGAAGAAAGGAGGGGCGATGGATATTAGGGATTTTCGTCCTATTAGTTTGGTGGGGTGTTTCTATAAGTTAATTGCCAAGGTCCTTGCTTCAAGGTTACGGAAAGTCTTGGATGGTGTCATTTCTGATTCTCAGAATGCTTTTATGGATGGTTGTCAAATTTTGGACTTAGTTCTGATTGCTAGTGAGTGTGTGGATTCCTGTTTGCATAGTGGGGTCCCGGGAGTTTTGTGTAAGCTTGACCTTGAAAAGGCATACAACCATGTGAGTTGAAGTTTCTTTCTTTACCTGATGGAGAGGATGGGGTTTGGTGATTGGTGGAGGAGATGGATTCATTTTTGTATTTCTAGTGCTCGCTTTTCGATACTCGTGAATGCTGCTCCTACCGGTTTTTTCTCTAGCTCGAGGGGTTTGAGACAAGGGGACCTGCTTTCCCCTTTCTTGTTCCTGTTTGTGATAGAGGCCCTTAGCAGACTGATGAGCATGGCTATTGAGTTGGGGTTTTTGAGATCACCCATTTGATGTTTGCCGATGATACTTTGGTTCTTTGTGATGCAAATGTGTCCAAGCTTAGATATCTGAGGTGTGTTCTGATTTGGTTCCAAGTTGTTTTTGGCCTTAAGGTGAATGTGGGTAAAAGCGTTTTGGTGTTGGTGAGAGAAGTCCCTGAGATTGAGTTATTTGCTGATATTCTTGGTTTTCGTACTGACTCTTTTCCCATCTCTTACTTAGGGATGCCTTTGGGGGCCCCTTAAAGATGTGTTAGGGTTTAGGACCCAGTAGTGGATGGGTTTGAGAAAAGATTGGCGGGTTGGAAGAAACAGTATCTCTCCAAGGGAGGTAGGGTTACTTTGATTAAGAGCACCATTTCTTGCCTTCCCTATGTATTTTATCTCTCTGATCCAGATTCCATCTTCAGTTGCAGAGAGGATTGAGAGATTGCAGCGTAATTTTTTGTGGGGGGGGAAGAGGAGAAGAGTTTAAGTTTCATCTGGTTTGTTGGGATCAAGTGTGCAAGCCTATTTGTTATGGAGGGTTGGGTCTTAGAAGACTGGTGCCTTTTAACAAGGCTCTTCTTGGAAAATGGCTGTGGAGATTTAGTGTGGAGAGGCATTGGCTTTGGAGGAGGGTCGTTGCTTGTCGCTTTGGGGAGTCCAGAGGAGGGTGGTGTTCTCTGGAGGTGTGTGGCCCTCGGGGTGTGGGGGTTTGGAAAGTCATTTGGAAGGGTTGGGTTGAGTTTTTCAAACACGTTCGAGGATCAGCTTTTGGGAGGATGTTTGGTGCGGGGATTCGCCTCTTGCTTTCACTTTTCCTCAGCTTTTTAGGATTGCTTCAGATAGGCAGGCCATGGTGGTTAATTGCTATCATCTTGATAGTGGGACATTGGTTTGGGATGTTCGTTTCAGGCGGTTGTTTCAGGATTGGGAGACTGAGGAGGCCATCCATTTTTTGGAATTGTTGTATCGCCAAAGAATTGAGGACGGCGTTTTTAATAGTTGGTCCTGGGTTGCCACTTCACATGGGCGCTTTGAGGTTAGATCCTTTTTCAAATGCCTCACGGATGATCCTAGAATTCATTTCCCTTGGAAGGTGGTCTGGCGCTCTAAGGCTCCTCTCAAGGTGGGTTTTTTTGCTTGGACCTCTGTTCTGGGAAGGATCTTAACCCAGGATAATTTGCGAAAGAGAAATCAGGTGGTGGTCAATCGGTGCTATTTGTGTCTTCGGGATGAGGAAACTGTGGATCACCTTCTCCTTCATTGCACCATGGCTAAAGACGGTTGGAATTTGATGTTTGGCTTATTTGGGATTCTTTGGGTTATGCTTGGATCCGTTAGAGAGTTGATTGAGGCTTGGAGAGGTTGCCATGTGGGGGGCTCACATTCTAGATGCATGGAGGGTTACGCCTCTTTGCGTGTGGTAGTGTATTTGGCTCGAGAGGAATAGAAGATATTTTGATGGGAAGGAGTTGTCGATTTCTTCTGCTAAATTCTCTATTATTTCTACCCTTTTTTGTTGGATTTTTGGGAGAGATCATAGTTCTTTAGAGGAAATTGTCGATTTTTTGGCTTCTTTGAAGGCTTAAAGGTCCTTTTTGGCCTTGTGTATATTTTCTGGGCTTCGCTCCCCTTTTTGAGCGCTTTTATAAAAATTTTCTTATTTATCAAAAAAAAAAAAAAAAAAGGGATACACTCCAGTTGAGAAGCAGAATTTTGTTCCTCGATAGAGAAATTGGGTTCTCTCTCTCTCTCTCTCTCTCTCTCTCTTGAAATCAACTGGGGAGTCACCTTATTTAGATGTAATATATCAAGGAATGGAGATAAAAATAAATGGGGGCATTTACGCATATTACATGTAAATAACTACTAAACTTTTGGGCAGGGTGGAATTTTTAGAACTATAGGGATTAGTTCCAAGGCAGTGGATAACCGCCCCAAGTTTGTATATAATAAACTTGTATTGGCATTTGTGTTATGCCTAGTTTATTGCATTCTTTAAAGAGAATGAAATAATTTGAATTTCTGATTTTGTGACTAATTTGTGGTTCTATCCATGTTTCTACGTTAACTTCAGTTTTGGTTCTCTAACTTCTTAATACATTAATTCTGAAATTTATGGTTATTTTAAACTTGAGTCCTTTTATATGCTTTAGAGTTGGGGATTTGTTTAATATTATTTATTCTAAATTTGTTTTGGGACTTGTTCTTTTATTTTTTTTAAATCCACCTATGAACTATAGATTTTATGCATAATTCCTTGTTAGTTGAGCCTGTAACTAGTCTCTAATTTCGATTTTGTTTGTTCTTTTTATTTTTTATTATGAATTCTATGTTGGGTTTCTTTTCATTGACTTTTTAAACTCTCTATGTTTGAAAGTTTAAACCAATGCTGCCACTATGATTTTTGTAGAAGCAAGATGTGGTATTTGAATAGGGGCCTAAGCGCTCAGACTTGGGTTCAAATTGTTTTTGCTTTTGAATTACTGAATTATATATCCATGATTGTTTGGATATATTCTTGTTCCCAATGCATAGGAACCTGGAAATAGAGTTTCAGTCAATTGAATTGAATTTGTTTTGTGTATAATATCCGAATTAATTGTTCGGCTGTATTTTGAACATTAATTGTTTGGCTGTATTTTGAACATTTGCTTGGACCATCTCTGTTTCAAATAAATTTTCCAACTTAACCATGTGATTATAGAGAGGAGTTGTTGGTGCTGAATTCAAAATTTGTTTGCCTTGAAAGAGATATTATTTATTAATGATTTTTTGAAAAGAAATAATAATTGATGTGGAAAAATATTGAAATTATGTATTTCTGAGGAGCTAAGTCAATTGCAAGGAAACGACAGAAAGAAAAGTCGGAAAGAATTGATGTCAAAGACAAGAGAGGAGGTATTATCTCTTCCATAAGAACCATCGACTTCTTGACGTTGCTTACTTTCAGCTCATTTTCTCACGGTGTGAAGTTTCTTAATGTTGTAAACAGGTCAATGCTGATTTCAAAGCTGCTTCAATTACTCAAGATGCTATGGAGCGGAGAAGGATACAGTCTGAGACACTTTCTGCTGTATTTGGAACTTACTTCCGCATCTTGAAGCGCACTATGCAGCCAATTGCAGACAGGTATTATCATTCATTTTTATTATATTTTCTTAATATGTAGCTTCTATTATTTGTGTAATGCAAGGGATTACCTTTTTAAGTGCAAGATAAGAAATAAAATTCTTGTTGCAAAATATCAGAGATAGAAACCAGTTTCTATTGTTTAGGCTATACTGAAGGGGGGCATTGCTATATATGATGGTAAAAAGATACGGACCGTCAAACTTGACAATGCTAGTTCAGTTTTGACACAAACTACTGCATATTTAATGCCCAAGGTTAAGCCTCATCTCAGTATACTCCTACCAACACCCTGCGTTAGTGGGACAATCGAGTAATGCCTTTCTTTCTTTGGCTTATACCAAATCATGGAATTGCCATCCCCCGACCATGGAAAATTTTTACCCATTGATTTAGAATGTGCTGTGCAGGCATGTCTGGTATAGGTGTTAATCCATTTAACCTGCTCTAACTTCTAGGACCAGTGAACAGGCTAAACTGTTGTTGTTACCCCATAACGGAAATAACATGGAGTTATGGTATCTTTTGGCATTCTGAGCTATTCATATTACATCTTCTGAGCTATTGCTTCTTTCTGTTGGATCCACTCCTTATATGTCCAATAGCATGAATGTCTGGCACATATCTTACAAACTCAACTTAGGTGCTTCCCACATTTTGGATTGTCCATGATTTATTTTTTTCTCCATCTAGCAAATAGAAGGCCACTTTTGCTTTTCTGTACCCACTAATCAATTGTTTGAAAAAACTATTATTTTTACATCGACTACATCAACTAATTTATTCTTCCCCCACCCCCTTCACTATAGAAAGAAAAAAAAGGGAAAGAAAGACCAAATCCGTTAGTAAATACTAGAAAAAAAGGAAATAGGCTTGCTACACATGCATCATCCAAAACAACGATTTTTATCAGTTGTAGCAAAGAGAGAAACTTCATAGAAGTCGAAATATGAAGAAATAGATATGCCTAGCTACTTTATTCTATATGGATAAAGGATCTAATTGATAGAAGAAGCACCATAAAGATCAATTAACGAGGTTTGGGGCGGATACAATAATAACTGCTTACTTATGTCATGGTATGAGATAAAAGTTAGGAATCGACTTATGTAATAGAGTTGATCCCACAGCGGTGTAGGATCAGATCCCAAAGATAGTAAATCTTTTCTTTTTTATGAAGTAGAGTCTTTTTCAAAAATTCTATATAAATTTCTATATGAAACCGAGATAGTTACCTTTCATAAAATTCTAACGATAGGGGGAAATGCCTATGCTTTATTCTTATGAAGGTGGGAGAAAAGATAAAACTAAAACCAATTATTAATCAAAATTTAAGTTTGAAATTCTCTATACCCACTAATCAATTGTTTGAAAAAACTATTATTTTTAGATTGACTACATTAACTAATTTATTCTTCCCCACCCCCTTCTTTTGTTTCAGATCTGAATGGGGTGTAAATTCAATTCCTGGTGCATCTGGGTGCCACGCGCTACTAGCTCCATGTCTGGATGGAATTGGAAAATTCTATCATCTAATTGACTTAGATTTTATGGGCGATCTTCTGAATTATCTAAGAAAGCTTGCCTGAGGCGGCAGCAACGTGGATGGATCTTCTGAGAATTCCTTAAAACATTTGACTGTATCTGAACGGCTGCGGTGTTGCATTGTTGCTTTCAAAGTAATGAGGAGCAATCTTGATGCCCTGAATGTTGATTTACAGGAATTTTTTGTCCAGCTATACACTCTTATACTTGAGTACAGGCCGGGAAGGTTAGTACCAATACAGTCTAAAACTCTTGATTTTTTATTTATTTTTTTCCTGAAAGTCAAGCAATTAAAACCCTTGGTTTTTTCAAGTTCATTCATTCCATTTTAGCTTAAATATTTGAGAGGGGGTGGCCTTGAACACAATAAGATAAAAAAATATAATTCAAAATTCAAACTACTATAATAAACAAAAGACTTTAATATTAATTGATATTTTAAATTAAAAAAATTCTTATACTTCCTTTTCAATTATTCTTTTAGGTAAATATGTCCATTTTAATTATTATCAAGGTAAAATAATTGAAAAGGAAGTATAATAAGTTAGAGAATCCCACTAATATAGAAATTCATTCTAATTCATTTTTAGGAAAGTTAGGAAGGTTAGTTTCCTATTTTATCTCCCTGTGATTAGCTGTACAGGTTGTAATTTGTGTATATAAGCCGTGTATTGGCTCTCTCAATTGATATAATTTTAATCCTTTCTCCAAAATTTGTCAGGGTATCAGAGCACTAGGCTCTTTTCTGGGAATCACAGTCTCTTCAGCCTTAATTGCCAAAGAGAGATTACTTTTATTTGCCCTGGCCTTCATTGCCATTTTTTCTCCGTTTATTCTTTTCTTAAACCCAATCCAATATGTCTGAGACCAAATCATCTTCTGAGGAAGTCTATAACGATCCCAAAACTAATGCCAAGAATTTTTTTTTTTTTTTTTTTAAAAAAATTCGGCATAACCTCCCCTAAAAATGGACCTACCGCAACCTGTTTAAATTCATTTTTAACCTATCATGGCTCAAATTCCGAATTCACGGCAATAGAAGATGATGATACACAATCAAATGACCTCAATAATACTTCAAATTAGTATTACTCTCCCCATTCATCAATAAGGTTTACATGTTATCAAATTCACAACCAAAATATTATCAAATACCTTAATTACAGTACATGACAAAGTTTTTGCAAAATATACATATACACCTTCACACTTTTAGTGCTTTGCAAAAATAATGGGAGATATACAAAAGACACAGAAGTGAGCTTCTAGTATCGCTTAAGCTTGAGGTGGATTGTCATTCACCGGTTCTTTTCCAAGACCTGAAAAAAATGTATAAATAGTAGGGTGAGCTATATGCTCAGTAGGTGACACGTAAGACACAAATCTTGTGTCCTTGTGAATTCAAGCAAAGCATAGGCTAATGGGAGATAGGGATCATACAACGTAGGGGATCAAATACAACATACAATTCAATTCCAATTATAAACAATGCAATGCAATGCAATGAAATGCAATGCATGTCAATGACACTCCCCATTTTCATTCTCAAAACCATCACTTTCAAACGTTAATACAGCCCGCCCTTTGGTAACCCCGCCGCGACACGAGAGGAGGATTGGCTAGTGTCCCTGACCCTTGGTAACCCCGCGGCGTCATTATGGGGCCCAGCTAGCTCAACCACACTAGGGCGACTCCCTAGTCCCCTCTAGGCTATATTAACCTCCGACCCGTTGGTAACCCTGCAACGACCGGGTTTATCAAAACCATTTCACAAAAACTATCATTTCCCAAAAATTACTCATTTTCATTTCAAGACAAATTCTCCCATTTCATGCATCCCAATGACATGTCCATGAATGTACATATAATCTCAATATCATGACAATGTGAAATTTTGGCACAATACAATTAAGCATGGTCTCATACATCACTTTCAGCAAGTTTACACATAGTAGACATAAACTCAACACATAGGCAAGCTTTTCACATAATACATCACATGTGCATAAACATACATTTCTCTATACAACATTAAAATAATCATTAACACAATTAATCCCCAAGTAAAGCATGTTAGCACATAAAAGAGGTGTAATTCACAAAAAACACCATAAAGCCATCATCTATACATGTTTTTCACATAGACAAGTCATAACCCTAAGACATGAATTTTTTCTAAACATCACTTACACCTCATTGAAGCAATTAATTCTCAAATTTAGCATGTCTAGCACAACAAAAGAGCATAACTCACAATGGAACAAGAAGAGAGTGGATTAAGGTGCCCCTACCTCAAGATTACACCAAAACCCTAGAAATGGGTCTAAATTTTCGAGTTCCAAAGAAGGCTCAAAACTGGAAATTGCTTGCATCAACGCGTAGAGCTCATCACACTCGTCGTTTTGCCTCAAACGACACCTAAATCCGGCAAGGATTGAGAGAGTAATCAAGGGTTAAAGCTTGAAGTGTAAAAAAAGAAAAAAAGGAAAAAGAGAAGGAGTCGAGAGCAGCAGTCGGGAAAAAGAGAGAGGAAAAGAACAGAGACTAACTTGGTCTCTTAATCCATTTAAAAGGGACGTGGGTCCCACCTCTCTTTTTCTAATTTCTTTTTCTCTTTCTTTTTTTTTCTTTTAATACACACCGCACATACAGGCATATATATATATATAAAGGCACAAACATTACACTCTCCCATACTTTAAAAGATTTCGTCCCCGAAATCAAGACATACTTGAGGAAGAAAACAACTCTGGATACTTGGAGCGAACCTCCTGTTCAAGCTCCCAAGTAGCTTCCTCGACTCCGTGGTGTCTCCAAAGGACTTTCACCATTGGTATTGTCTTATTCCTCAACACCTTCTGCTGAGTGTCAAGGATCTGAACTGGTCCTTCCTCGTAGGAAACATCCTCATCAATATCCACATCAACCCAACTCAAAATGTGGGATGGATCCGGTTCGTACTTCCGTAACATCGATACATGGAAAATATTGTGGACCCTATCCAACTGTGGTGGCAAAGCAAGCCTATAGGCAACCTCTCCTACCCGATCCAAAATCTCGAATGGTCCAATAAATCATGGCGATAACTTGCCACTCTTCCCAAATCTCATCAATCCCTTCCGTGGAGAAACCCGTAGAAAAACGTGGTCTCCCACCTCAAAGGATAACGGTCGTCTCCGCTTATCCGCATAGCTCTTCTGTCCGCTCTGAGCTGTAAGTAACCTCTGTCTTATCAACTTAATCTTCTCAGTAGTCTCGAGTACAATGTCGAGTCCTAAGGCGGCTGTCTCGCCTACCTCAGTCCAACAAACAGGAGACCTACAAGGTCTACCATACAACGCCTCAAATGGAGCCATCTGGATGCTCGCCTGATAACTGTTGTTGTAGGCAAACTCAATAAGTGGAAGGTGATCCTCCCAACTACCTCCCAAATCAAGTACACATGCCCGAAGCATATCCTCCAAAATCTGGATAGTACGCTCTGACTGACTGTCTGTCTGTGGATGGAATGCCATACTCAGATGCAACGCTGAACCAAACGCTGCTTGAAGTCCTTCCCAGAACTTCGAAGTGAACTTAGTATCCCTATCTGAGACAATGGTTACAGGAACTCCATGTAACCTTACAATCTCCTTCACATAAAGAACACCAAGCTTCTCTGCATCATCTGTTGCCTTAATAGGCAAAAAGTGAGCCGTCTTGGTCAATCTGTCAATGATGACCCATATGGCCTCATTACCCCTTCTTGACCTTGGAAAACCTGTCACAAAATCCATAGCGATATGCTCCCATTTCCATTGCGCTACAGGTAATGGTTGCAACAAACCTGCTGGCCTCTGATGCTCGGCCTTCACCTGCTGACAGGTAAGGCATCTAGCCACAAACTGTGCAACATCATTCTTCATCCCGCTCCACCAATACTGACGTCTCAAATTGTGATATATTTTAGTACCACCTGGATGAACTGCAAAGCGGGAAGTGTGAAACTCCCGTAGGACGTCCTCACGACAACATGTGGGAACCACCAACAAACCCCTGAACCGTAGACCCCCATCTACATGCAAGGCCCAATCTTTCACTGTCTCACCACTAGAGATCAAAGCGTGGATGGCATCTAAGTCCGGGTCCTGTCTCTGTGACTCAATCACTCGTACAACAAGAGTAGGCTGAGCCACAAGACTAAATAAGAATGCCGACTCACTACAACCATCATCATCACAACACTGTAATCCCATCCTGCCAGATCTTCAAGTATCTTCCACTTCCGAATAGCTAAACTGGCCAAAGTTCCATGAGATTTTCGGCTTAAGGCATCAGCTATAACATTTTCCTTGCCCGGATGATACTGCAAATCAAAGTTGTAATCTTCTAAGTACTCAACCCATCGTCTCTGTCTGTTGTTCAAGTCCTTTTGGGAAAAAGGTACTTGAGACTTTTGTGATCTGAAAATACCTCGAATCTCTCACCATACAAGTAATGTCTTCAACACTTCAAGGCAAACACAACTGCCGCTAACTCCAGGTCATGAGTAGGGTAGTTGTACTTGTGAGTCTTCAACTGTTGAGACCCATAAGCCACTACTCTACCATCCTGCATCAACACACATCCCAACCCGTCACGTGAAGCATCACAATAGATCACATAACCCAAGCCACGCTCAGGTATCACCAACACTGGCGCTGTAGTCAATCTCGTCTTCAACTCCTGAAAAGATGAATCACAGGCCTCATTCCAGACAAACTTGACCCCTTTCCGGGTCAAACGGGTCATAGAAGCTGCCAAACGGGAGAAATCCTTCACAAATCTCCGATAGTAACCCGCTAAACCAAGGAAACTACGGATCTCAAACACATTCTTGGGTCGCTCCCAAGTCAAAACTGCTTCAACCTTTGATGGATCAACTGATACTCCACCTTCTGAAACAACATGCCCCAAAAACTTCACCTCCTGTAGCCAAAACTCACATTTCTCGTATTTGGCATACAATCGATGCTCCCGCAAAATCTGTAAAACAATACTCAAATGGACCTCGTGATCTTCCCGGCTCCGTGAGTACACAAGAATGTCATCCACGAAAACTACCACAAACTGGTCTAAGTAATCATGAAAGACGCGATTCATCAAGTCCATGAATGCCGCTGGCGCGTTAGTCAAGCCAAAAGGCATAACAAGGAACTCATAGTGTCCATACCATGTACGGAATGCTGTCTTCGGGATATCCTCATCCCTAACCCGCAACTGATAATAGCCAGACCTCAAGTCAATCTTTGAGAAACAACTGGCTCCCCCAACTGATCAAATAAATCATCTATCCTTGGCAAATGATACTTGTT